AGCTCCTTTGGCTAAAACAACAGCAAGTTGAGTTATTTGACATTTACATAGTATGAAGAATTAGAGATGTACAGCTTTTTTGGCTTACAGAATCGTAGATTTTAATTCCACAGATCCGTGGTGATGCATGAATAAAGAGGTATTAAAGGAACACAAAATGAAACTACAAGGATGAACACTGTGCAGTAGATAAACATCATTCGGAACCACTTCAAATACACGTACAGTCAGATGGTTATGATAAACCTGATCATGGCTCTAGCAAGAAACATACAATTGTTGTAAACGCTACATTACATTATTAGCTGACGTTAGTTATCCAAAGAGAAAGTAAACAACCAGGAGCACCTAGTTCAGAACTGTACATACCAGAGTCCTTCATTCTAACAGCTGTATGTTACAAACCTTCCCTACGTTGGTCTTGTGATTATTTTGAAATTGACAACATATGTAACCTACCGTTGAAATGAGTTTTGTTGAGTAAAGAAAAGTTATGTAAGAGATAAAGGCTCAGGCCTCATCTGAACCTGACTGTATAATGAAAACTATTTTGGATAGAAATGTATCGTTATTATAATTACGTAACTCGAGTAACTTAGACTGTTTAAAGTGAAAAATCAATAAGTCAGTAATTATTACAGCCCTTCACTCTAGCAGCTGTACTTATTACAGCTTACCAATAAGCCAGTAACTATCAATAAGTCAGTATTTACCAATACTGACTTCTTATCAGTAACTTAATACTTATTAATAAATTATCCGAATATTTATTTTATTTTGAAAATAAGTGAAGTGCATACTGTTCATTTATCGTTGAATTTATCGCTAACAAGTCACAGACACCTACTGTAGAAAAATCCTATGCCCAACAACAACACACAATATATATATATAATATTAAGAAGTATAGGTAAAAGCCTTTTATTTTGACAGTTGGCGAGAAAACAATTATATTTAAAACTCTGACAATGTCTTTGTTACAAATAAAACGTTAATGGTTTTAGATGTTAGCTATTTTGTAGATAGTTTGTTTAATTGCTGCAAAAAATGGTTTATTTATTGGTTTGCCCACAGCAGGTATCGATAACTGATTTTCCTAGTTGTAAGCCCTGGGAGCAATTGTAATGGTTCAAGCGCAAAGCTATACCGCGAGCTATCGCGTTCTACCCACCACGAGAAATCGAACCCCGAATTTGGGCGCTGTAAGTACGCATATTTACCGTTGACTCCTCGGTAATTTCATTGGGAGAAATATAAAAAAATGTATATTTAAATATGGTGCATGTTTAATTAGCATCAAAGTAAGTGTATATGTTTTTTGTTTTATATAAAATCAACACCCATAGTAACGTAGTTTGTCGCTAGTTTCATACTGCAAGTTTCGTTACTAGATAATGTAAACATATGTACAACAAATTATTCACACTATAGAGATTATAGGCATATCATAAACATTATATATATAGTTTTTTTCTTCTTGTCAAAAGTCCACTTAGGCCTATTCAATTACTTTAAAATTTCAGTTCAGAAGCCTAACTATCTTCTCCATTACTACCGCACTAGTATTCTGTGTGTGATTCACTTACAATTGTGGCCTGAGTTACCGTAATCGTTTGGTATTCTTTCTTGAAAATATCCTCTGTTCCTTTTGTCAAACTGCACTCAGGCTGATTCAATGACTTTAGCACCACGCTTTGACGGAATAAATTATTATTCTTATCTCCTTTTCCACTGTTAGTCTTACTTTAGCATATTAAACGTTAGGCCTATCACTTCTAAAGTAGTTAACTTCACACCGAACTTTTCCTTTGCTTACTTTGCTCTCTTCTGCTATTGTCTGTCTGCTGTTTCCGCTCGTCTCAAACTATTTATATGTTCATCACTTAATCGTCTGCCAGCCTTCTAGAAATCTCTATGTTCTCGACGTCAATGTATTGCACGCGACATTCGATAGTCTCAACATCAATGATTATAAACACAACTTCCTACAATCGTCTGCTTTTAACTCTTATTATAACAAAAAACTACAAAGTAACAGGGGTTATTACCTAGGATTCAGTAACAATGCAAACATTGAGGGAGGATGAGGTCAACGCTGAACCTGACCCTCCAAGGTCCAAAACATGGACCGAATCCTGATGAGGAAGAGAGAGAAGGATCCTGCGTTTTGTACGTGATTCTTGAAAATATATAATTAAGATGAAGAGGTGAAGGTAAAGCATAGCAATAAGTATCATAACAAAAACGTGAATAGAAATATGTAAAAAACATTTCATTGTATACAGAAGTGGGCTTTGTTTGTTATTGACTTCCATTTTATACAAAAGTAGACTGTGTTTGTTATTTACATTTCATTCAAGATCAAAGTGGGCTGTATTTATTATTGATGTTCCATTCTATACATAAAGCGTGCGGTGTTTGTTATTTACATTTCATTTTATACAAAAAGTTGGCTATAAACTGTCTGTATGTCTGTCATGATATAAGTGACTGTTTAGTTGAGATCAATTTTTTTATGAGTGAATATTGTATTATTGTTTCCATTGTCCGCAGTTTTAATTAACATACCCTTTTCTAGCCATGTCCAATTCATGGGGTAATATTAACTGGCATATTTTCACTAGCTTCACTTATGTATGATCACACTATTAGTCCGTGTTCACAATATAGTTCCGCTTAGCAATCATACACACACATAACCCTGTTTTTACACACAAACCGCTTTTAAAATAGAACCACGTTTGTGTTTAGGATTCAGTTAGCCTAACACTGTTTGGTCCGTAAGTTTTTTATTTATTATGTTTAGAGGGGAGAGGTACTTAGGGCGTGATTCATCATGTATTATGTAACTCTCCAGTTTGTTCATCAGTTCATTTTGATTAATATTTTGCTTACAATATTGAAGCGAGTTATTCAAGAGTCTTCCTGATAGAGTTGGCATGTTTGAATAGTTGTTTAAGAAATACCGAGTTTGCTGATTGTGGTACCATAAATGCTTTCGTTAAAAGATAGTTTTGTATTTGTTGTAGGTTGTTGATGTGTGTTTTTGATACATTTATCCATGTTCTACAGGCACATTCTACGACTGGTCTTATGTATGTTCTGTATATTTTTAATATGTTTTCTGGTGAAGCTCCTTGGTTGTTGCCAGTCAGACTCTTAAGGTAATTCGGTTTAGACCCAAAAAAAGACAAAATTGGTTGTCCTTCGATAAAGTCTTCAATCTTGGTTTAGGCAAAAAAAAGTCAAATTTAGTTATATTTGTTAAAGTCTTAAATCTTGGTTTAAGCCAAAAAAGAGAACTTGGATTGTTCTTTGGTAAAATCTTTCATTTTTATATTATTCCACAGCTTAAAGTGCAGTATATATTTTGTAGTAGGCACATAATTTGAATCTGGCTCGACAGTTCCGAAATCAAACTCTCTATTATATGACCAACCCGTGCCCTTAAAAGTAGAGGATATATAAATTACCCTGCCGTAGCACACCCTAATAAACCAATAAGTGGTTGCAAGTCGACTAATATTAATTATTCGAAAAAACAACAACAAAAACAAGAAAAAAAACCAAAAACAAACAAACTTGGTTGTTCTTTGGTAAAGTCTTAAATCTTGGATTATGCACACAAAAAAAGAAGACAAATTTGGTGGTTCTTTGGTAAAGTCTTGAAGCTTAGTTTGCGCCAAAAAGACAGATTTAGTTGTTATTTGGTAAAGTCTCGAATTTTGGTGTAGGCCAAAAAAAAAAAGAAGGCAAATTTCATTGTTCATTGGCAGCCTTGAATTTTGGTTCAGCCCAGAAAAAAAGGCAAAATTGATTCTTCCTTGGTAAAGCCTTGAATCTTGGTTTATGCCAAAAAAAAATTGATTGTTCTTTGGTAAAATCTTGAATCTTCGTTTCGGCCAAAAAACAAAGAAACTGATTTGGTTGTTATTTGGTAAAGTTTTGAATCTTTGTTTAGGCCACAGAAAGATAGATTTGTTTATCTTTGGTAAAGTCTTGAATCGTGGTTTAGGCAAAAAAATAAAAACAAACAAACTTGGTTGTTATTTGGTAAAATCTTGAATCTGGGTCTGGGCCACCCAAAAAAGACAAAGTTGGTTGTTTTTTGGTAAAGTCTTGAATCTTGGTTTAAGCCAGAAAAAGACAGATGTGGTTGTTCTTTGGTAAAGTCTTGAATTTGTTTTTTTACCTAAACCACGATTCAAGACTTTACCAAAGAGAAAACAATTCTTTCTCTTTTTGTGGTCTAAACTAAAATTCAAGACTTTACCAGAGAACAACCAAATTTTTTTTTGTGTAAACAAAATTCAAGACTTTGCCGAAGAACAACCAATTTTGTCTTTTTTTTTTGTCTAAACCAAAATTCAAAACTTTACCAAAGAACAAACAATTTTGTTGTTTTTTTGGCATAAACCAAGATTTACGACTTGACCAAAATGGTGTTGATTGATCAGCTAATGTCCCAGACCATTCTGTGATCTCTTGCAACGCCCTGTTTGACATGTTTATCATGATATCGTGAAACAATACAGTAAGCCGAAAACAGTTCAAACATACGGAATATTAGTGGCCTAAAAATAGCACTATCTCCTCACTAATTGGGTCACTGGACTCACGTACCTGGACATTGTAGTGTTGAGTACTACCCTCCAGAATTTGGAAGTTTACGATGTTGTTGGTGCATGTTTCTTCCAGCAAGACTTGGCATCTCCTCATTTTGTAGTTTATTTTCATGAGGGTCTGGACAAAAATTATGCCAAGTTGTAGGATTAGCCGTAAAAATCCGTTTAAACAAAATTATCATCCGAACTATTGCTTGGGTTTCCTATATGTATTCGTCATAGAATAAAAGTGGTTCACCTTTTTTTTTTGTCAGTTATTTGTATTGAGTGTTGTTAGAAGAAATGACTTAAACTTACTCAATGTGATGTAATTTTAGGGTTAAACTGAGTACAACCATTTGAAGGCAGTCTGTAGGTTAAGATTACACAATGCAGTGACAATATATGCTATTAAACTTTATTGAACATCTGAAAAAAAAGAAGAATACAGAGATATTTTTCTCATAACAACAACATTCATAAATAATATTCATCTCTGTTAACAAACACTTTTTCGTCTCTCTCATGTGACGTATGATAACCTCAAGTATAGCCTGTGCTCTTTTCCACTTGTCAATGGAACCCTTAAAGAGGAAATAAGTGAAACATGAAAAACTCTAGCACAAAGAACAATGTTTGTTTGACAGTTGAAAAAAAATTACAGTAAAAAAATAAACTATGCTATTAAGTTTGAACATGAATAACTGTAACATTATTTTCAAACATATTATAAAAAGCAGTTGTATTATCTTCATACGTTCAAAATGTCTCTGATATTTTTTTGGGGGGGGGGGGTCGATTATACTACTTATTCTCAAAAACGACAGTAACTAACATTATTTTAACGTAAATAGATAACGTAGTGATTTAAAAACAGTAATCTGGACCCTGAATAGAAAGCCTTTTGGGGTAAAACTGGAAGAGATAAAGTGACGAGTCCGTACATGTCTTACCTAATACGTTTGTATTTTGTAACACCAAATTAAATATATTGCTCCTTTAGTGATAGCCATAGCCTCCGTAGCCTCCATAACCACGTCCACCATAGCCGCCATAACCTCCATAACCACGTCCGCCATAACCTCCATAGCCTCCATAACCACGTCCGCCATAACCTCCATAGCCCCCATAACCACGTCCACCATAGCCTCCATAACCTCCATAACCACGTCCACCATAACCCCCATAGCCTCCATAGCCACGTCCGCCATAACCTCCATAGCCTCCATAACCATGTCCACCATAGCCTCCATAACCACGTCCGCCATAACCTCCATAGCCCCCGTATCCACCATATCCGTAACCTGCCATGACGGATGCAACAGCGAACAGAAACAGCACAGCAGCGAACTAGAAAAGTAGAAAAGTTAAACGTCATCATAGAATGATCTAAGACGAATATTTATATCACCTAGATACTCAAAATGTCAATTTATCTATTTTTGTAGAACTTATTTAAAGCTGGCAAAAGGACGACGGACTAGGAAGGTAATTTTCAATTTTCTAAAACAATTATTTATGAAATAACGTATCATCTATACGCATTGTGGATTTTAGGACTTACCACAGCCTTCATTGTGTCTGAGCTAGAGAAGAAACTGGGGAAAATGTTTGTACGAAAACGTCCACTTCAATGTATCGGCACTGGTTTGATTCAAGCTGTGGCCAACAAGACTTTTATATACACAACCGGAAAGGTGTGGTTTCTTCGTCCACGCGCTCTTGTTTTACGCGCCAGCAATTAAGCTAAATAAAATACGAATAATTGAAGCCCATTAAAAATACGAATTTGAGTGAAACGGATTGTCAGCCTAGGGCAGTCAGCGAGTGAATGGCACCGACAAAAATATAGGGGATCGCCCCGCAGAACCGTGAACAAGGTTATCATTATCCAAGCCTAGTTTTGAAACAGCGAGCTTCGTACCAACGTCGTAGTCGATGTCGCTTTAATCTTCACGACGCCTCTGGGCACGACGGAAACACGTAATTTGAGTAAGCTGTGGCTATTATCAGCTCGATTTCCAACCTTAGCTAAAGTTAGTAAAACTTTCTTGTCATAATGTCGTGTATCTAAAAAAGCAAAATCGTGCCAGTGTTACAGGTGGGATTTAAGATAATTTAATGTTCCCCGTTGGTCTAGTGGTAAGCCTAATAACGCTAGAAATCGGGGATTTGTTCCATACGGTGGACACAGCGCAGATAGCCCATAGTTTAATCTTAAACTAAAATATATTACACTTAAGACGTACATATTCCTACACAGTTTTCTGTGAACTTATTGTATAAAAGTACGTTCTTCCAACTAAAATAAGTCGATCATCAAGCCTCGTGAATAATTCATTGTATCTGTCTGTTTGTTTCAGATATTACTGGGAAATGATCGTTACTCTTATTACACACCAACGGCCCCAAACTACGTAACGCAATCTTTTTTCAAGTTAACCGAACGAGAACGAGGGTATAAAAGCAGTAAGTTCGTATATATATGTACAAAATACAGCTGTTATAACGCATAAAACTATTTTCTCTTCGGCGACATTTGAAATGTATCACTTATCATACAGTAAAGTTTATGCATTTAATGCTTTATTTAAAACTAAGGAAACACGCCAATAAACCAAGTATTAAAGCTAAGACTTTCATTGTAACGGACCGGGCATGGTCAAGTAATTAGCGTGCCGGCCTCTAGGTCCGATGGTTCAAATGAATATTTTATTGAACTAACATTTTTATCTTTCTTGGACGCTTCTAAGTATATTCGTGTTTTGTGTATTGTAAAACTGTGTGGATCTTAATAGCAAATCACTGGTGTATTTGTGTGTTTTGTAAGTAAAAACCTATTTTACTTTTTTTTATATTTAAATTCATTAAATGTTATTCGTTATATAATGTTGGAAATGTGTTTCTTTTACATAATGTTGTTACACTTATGAATATTATTTTGTGTAGCTATCTTAATACACGGATTTAGGCTTAACTTCTAAGCTGACTGATCTTCGTGAAGTATTATTGAAAGCGTAAGAGCACCCATTTGATGATCCAATGCGTCCTGATCATCATGGATGGGATTTATGACCAAAATATGAGGAAGAAGAAAATGTCCGACTTAAATATTGTGAATGTCGCGTGTGTACCCTGTCCCACAAACAAAAACAAAAAACAATTTAAAAATGGGGCAACGTTCCCCCTTGCCCCCCCCGTAATCCCGTTTATAGTAGTCATTATAGGTTTTACTACATTCTTCACAAAACTTTAGTGAAGAAGGATAAAAGGTTTTAAAGAATGTAAAACAAAGAAAAAAAGTAATAATCACAAAAGCTTATAAAGGCAATACTCTTTGGAACTTATCAAAACAAATATTTGAAACAAGACATAATGAATAATGGGAAAGGAGACTAAACTCATGCTTTAAACGATTAAAAGACAAAATTTTTGATAACCATTGATTTTTCTTTGTTCTTAAGAAGTACAGGTGCAAGAATAAGACAGTTATATGGAGGACCAAAGATACATAAAGATCCTTTCTGAATATGTTCAATCTTATCAACTTATCACTACTTCATTTACGAATTATATAAATGGTAACTTGAATCTCAAAACGATAAATAAAAAATTATAAAATACTTGTATACAACTCCTGCGAAACATAAAACAAAATAAAACTAGATGTACGTTCGCAGGGTACCCGAAAATGTTTTGTTTCAAGAGTAAATAAAGCCAAAATTAAGAGTAACAAATATTTTATACTTCTTGCTTTTCAAGTTCATACGTCGCGACAGTATAAATTGCAACGTTAAGCGTCTCTTACGTGACGTAATTTTAGTGTCTACTGACTGACTGACTGACAGACAATACACTATTCTATATGGTGCGAGTGGTTGAAACGGGTGACCCTTTCAAGGAAATAATTGGATACTAATAGCAGTATACACTGTACACCGAGGTACCGGTGAAAGAAGCCTTTGAAATCGCACGAAACAAAATATATAGATATGAAAACAAAGATCTAAAAGCACCTTTAGAATTTTTGAAACAACTTTTGGAACTAACAACTGTTTTATGTTCGAAAAAACTTCTATGTAGAGAGAGAAGGTTTAGCAATGGGAAACATACTTTCTTCACTATTCCCAACGTTATTCCTCATCAACCATACAGACAAAGGCTTATAATAAGGCCATGTTTCCACTACGTTTTTCTTAGAGATATGTTGACGATGTCCTACGTAGTTTTCAGTAAGAAGAAAAAATTAACATATTAACAAGCAGCATAAAGACATACAAATTGTAATAGAAATATGTTTCTATAAACTTCCTAAGTGTAAGCATAAGGAAGGGAGAGTGAACTTCAGTTTCAAAATTCACAAAAAAAAAGCGTTCGTTGGAATTTATGTAAACTGGTTTTCTGTACATGATAAAAAAGTAAAAATCGGAACACAAAAATATCTAATAGCAGCACTGGGACTATGAACCAATAGAAACGTGGAAAACGAAAGTGGAAACATAAAAGAACGATTCAAGTCATTAATACTCTCTATAAATAATTGATGAACGATTTGAGAAAAACAATAAATCAAGAAAAAAAATGAAAAACAGAAATGACCAAACCACTCAAGAAGAACAAGAAAACGAACGTATTTAGGAATCAGTGTTATTTGTAAGTATTATCAGTGAAAACTTAAAAACCTTACCGTTCAAATTAACTAAAAAAACATACAGATATAACGCGAAAACTAAAATAATAAATAGATGAAAAAATCAATGTTCAAACTTCTCTACCGAAATTATTTAATTGTTTGTTTTTAATTAAGCACAAAGCTACACAAGGGGCTGTCTGTGCTCTGCCCACCACGGGTATCGAAACCCGGATTCTAGCGTTGTAAGTCCGCAGACATACCGCTGTGCCACTGGGGGTGTGTGTTTGTTCGTAATTAAGTACAAAACTACACAAGGGGCTAGCTGTGCTCTGCCCACCACGGGTATCGAAACCCGGATTCTAGCGTTGTAAGTCCGCAGACATACCGCTGTGCCACTGCGAGGGAGGCTAAGTTATTTAATGTTGAACAATACGGTATATAAAAACTGTATAAGATAAAACGCTTAGACTGTGAAAATTTCGATACAGGAAAAACAGATAGAAAAGTAACGACCAGATGCAAAACGGAAAGAACCAAATGTAAATGAGCATCTCATTGAAAAATGACACAGAATACATTTTGAAAATATAGATATATTCCGTCTAACACCAAAAGTTTTGATCCAAATCTGGAAGCACTAGGAATTAAAACTTAGCATTAATAAAACATCAGGAGCGCTGTTGAATTTGTATTAGTTAATTGTATTTGTTGTAGAGCGCAAAGCTCCAGAATATTCCATCTGTACTCTTCCCACCGCGGATATCACAATCCGATTCTAACATTATAAGCCCGTGGACTTATTATTGAGCCCCCGGGGGCGTCACGTTTGTTTTTGAATTTCGCGCAAAGCTACACGATGGCTATATGCGCTAACCGTCCCTAATTTATCAGTGTAAGACTAGAGGGAAGGCAGCTAGACATCACCACCCACCGCCAACTCTTGGGCTACCTTTTACTAACGAATAGTGGGATTGACCGTCACATTATAACGCCTCACGGCTGAAAGAGCGAGCATGTTGGGTGTGACGGGGATTCGAACCCGCGACCCTCAAATTGCGAGTCGAGTGCCCTAACCACTTAGCCATGTTGGGGCCTCCTCTTCACAGATGATATATGATATAGATAAGGGCACAATAGACAGAAAGAAGGCCGAGGCTATGAACTACGTGGATTAACAACACTGTTAGATAGTAGAGACTAATCACGTAACTAAATAGTACTTGTAATTAGGATGGTGTATAAGCAAATAAATCGAGTTACAATTAATATGTTCGTAGCTACTTTTTCAAATTATATTTGGATTAAAATGTAATATTTTGTTCATCTTAGAACCTGAATCATATCCTTAAATTCTGTATACTATACGGTTACAGCCAACACTTATACTTCAGATAAGACTGCCCCCAGTGGCGCAGCGGTATGTCTGCTGACTTACAACGCTAGAATCCGGGTTTCGATACCCGTGGTAGGCAGAGCACAGATAGCCCATTGTGTAGCTTTGTGCTTAATTACAAACTGATAAGACAGACAATTTTGTTTGATTTATAGATTAAACAAACTTCAACCAATGAAGGAAGCTTATACAGCAAATGGAGATTTCTAGTGTAGTGTTTAATGCCGTGACGCGATATTTGATTCTTTGTGGAACGTACAAAGCAATATACACTACACTGAACACGTTATTTTGTTACTACGGTACCCCAGGCCGTAACAACCAATTTATCTGTAAAGTTATTGTAGTAAAAACTGTGTCACCAGTGAAGCTATTGATCACTAGTACGCCTGGTAACACAACAGATGTCACTCTTGTACCAAACACAACGTTAGTCTGTGATGACAAATTCTTCAGAAGTGAAAACATTTATTGTTCTATTTTTCAAAGAAGAAGAATAAAACAGCTTAAAAGAACATCCTATTTTAGTTTTGGAAACGTTTTTTCTTGTCTCGAAACGCTAAATTAGGCTAATGATAGGTTAAGAATCCGGAAACCATGAACATGCATGATAATGACTTCTTACATTCCTGACTGACACCGCCGGTGTTCAGCAGCAACACCGGCTACCGAGTGCTCAGTACCTTCAGGAGCAAGACAGCGAGAGCCATCTAGCGTGAAACATTTTTTGTTTTTAGTTTTTAAGAAGCTCGATTTTCTACGAATTAGGCTTAATTTAAACTAGTCATAGATTCCTCTTACTTTTTATGATAATAATAATTTAAAATTTGTTGTTTCTTGTCAGTGGCACAGCGGTATGTCTGCGGACTTACAACGCTAGAAAACGGGTTTCGATACCCGTGGTGGGCAGAGCACAGATAGCCCATTGCGTAGCTTTGTGCTTAACTTCAAATAAACAAACAAACTAACTCTTCAAAAAATATCCTCAAATTTCAGAAACTGTTCATGACACTTCTTAGCACGCAAGAGTTAATTTTTCTTTTTTTTTTCAAGAATTAAGAAAATTATACGATGACGTATTGGTTGGGACGAACTGTTATAATTAGAGTTAGAAAGCGTTCTAGAAGGCTGCTATAAATACCCTCCCCCCCAAAAAAAACTCATACACTTTAAAACCCATACGTTAGATAAACCTCCATCATAACTGCCCTGTGGCTAATTATTCTTTGATAGATTCAACTTGAAGACGAAAGGCGGAAGTCTTTCGAAACGTCGTCCTCTACACTTGTGTTTCTACAACAGGCAGTTGCCAACATTCTACAAAGTTTCATCGGATAATTATTGTGTTTATTCTTAGCCTTCATTTTTTATCATTGTAAAACAACAACAAAAATGTATTACAATAGCATTTACTATATAAATATAC